CTTGCATATTTTATATCATTGCAGTATGCAATTCATATGAAAATTTGGAAATTCAAATTTGGATCCAAAAAGTTTTCATTTCCAACCAAACATTATTCAATTTCAATAGGAATGTGGATATTAAACGGTAGATAGCAACGCGCAAAGCTCCACTTTGTAGGTTTATGAATAAGACCAAATCAACAAATTTAACTGTTTACAAACTAACCTTGTCAGTGCTTGTGATCGTTTCATCGTTTGTATAATTATATATGTATTATATATTCCTTCCCCCACAAAAGAATGCAGTTTATGTTCCATATAACAGATAAAAGAATTAAGCGTACTTGAATTAGTGGAAATGCTAAGTTTGGCTGCGAAATTTGGTAAAATACGGAAAATATAGCCATGTCAAATTAGCATATTTTGTATTACGCGCGAAATTGTAACTAATTTAGTTACAAACTTTCCCATTTCTTGTTTTACAGATTCCGGCTTTTCCCATTCCTGGTTTTACAGATTCCGGCTTTTCTCATTCCTTGTTTTACAGATTCCGGCTTTTCTCATTCCTGGTTTTACAGATTCCGGCTTTTCCCATTCCTGGTTTTACAGATTCCGGCTTTTCCCATTCCTGGTTTTACAGATTCCGGCTTTTCTCATTCCTTGTTTTACAGATTCCGGCTTTTCTCATTCCTTGTTTTACAGATTCCGGCTTTTCTCATTCCTGGTTTTACAGATTCCGGCTTTTCCCATTCCTGGTTTTACAGATTCCGGCTTTTCCCATTCCTGGTTTTACAGATTCCGGCTTTTCTCATTCCTTGTTTTACAGATTCCGGCTTTTCCCATTCCTGGTTTTACCGTTCCCCGTTCCTTTCCTCATTCCTTTCCCCGATTCCCCGTTCCTTGTTTTACAGATAGCCGTTTATATATTGAGAGCCTTTCGATAGCTATACGACTTTCAAAGATTTTATTTTCCTCTGTTTGGCCGTTTCCATGACGAGGAATAAATAATTATTAAGTTCTTGGTTAAATGCAAATTCAGCTTAGTTTCAGGGTTTAGTGGTGATGTAAATTCGGCTAAAAATAAGCCAAATATTGTCATTTTTGTTTTCTATGTTTAACAAAGGCGCCGCCTATAATTACATTTTTGTATTTTACATAACGCCTTCAGCAAATATATTTCATGGGCTATCCAGGTGATCTGAGTCGAAAATTTTAGTCAATCAGAGAAAAATCTTGCCAGAAACTTGCCAGAGAAAAATCCATACCCAGCTGCTTCTCGCGCGGTGAAGGTAAAAATATAGCTGACGTTTGTGGTTTTCTAAGGAATTTCGAGCTTCGAAATGCATGTTTCTCTTCCTGGCGGTTATTTTTATTATCGTACTTCAAAATATAAATAACAAAATGCGCGCACTGATCAATAGTATGGATTTCTATTTGCTTGCAAAATAGTGCTTTGCGAACTTGACGCGACATCACCTGGCCAAGGTTATGCAAATTCACCTCAATAACAAGATTGAAAGATTATGCAAATTCAGCTAAAAAAATAAGCCAAATATTGTTATAATGTTTGTTTTCTTTGTTTAGCAAAGCAGCAGTTTATATACTGAATACATTTTTTATATTTGATATGGAATATAATTATTACATGTGCTATAGATAGAGGAGAGTATAAAGAATAGAATCAAACTTCTATTTAAGAAATCGAAAACATTTCTTCCTGTGCTTCTATACAGTTATAGAGACAGGCGTGGGAGTTTGGGAGAACGAGAAATAATCCGAGGGACCTTTGACGAATTAGGTATTCAGTTTCGGCCATTGGTGTGTCTGTTATATTAATATTTCAAGTTAAAAAATACCAAGAAAACGTAGATTTAAGACGGGTGTATTGACTGATGTAAAAATCTGTCTCGGTTTTAGTTTCCAGCTTTTTAAAAACAGCCTGTAAGATGTCTATACGTCTATACGCAATATAAAGTCTATACGTACCTCATAACAGCATGCACCAAATAAGGAATATCGGTAAACAAGCGCATAACTTGTAGTTAAATTACAATATCACGTTAAACTAAAACTATTTATTAATAACTAATCCAGTTAATGAAATACCTTCCAGTGTTGCGCTAGGTATACACATGTCAATTTTTATTCCGTTAAATTGTTAGAATTTCGTTCTAGAATAGTGAAGATCGACATATTTTCATTTTTTCAATTCAAGCTGGAATATTAATTTTTATGCAGTTATAGCTAAACAATATTGTACTCTATGTCCTTACTTATTCTTACTTACCTATACCCCACACCTGACGTCATCACAATGAAAGCTAATGAGTTAAATATTAATCCAAGATGGCCTACAATTCATGACAACTCGTAGCTGTTAGTATAATATTACAAATAAAATATGGAAATTTCAGTATTCAATTCTATACATAATAAGAGTATATGTCAAAAAAACGCAACAGACTAGTGTAATTGAAAACTGTGTATTTCGAATCAATTTTGATTTATCTTTTCTCGCTATGAAAGAATATCGTTATAATTATTTAGAAACGTAATTAATTCTTAAATAGCAAGCGCGCGTAAGATCTTAAGCAAAATTCGTGACAATTTAAAGACAGCAAAACAGGCTAAAGAAAATTGACATTTGTACTTCCTTAACGGCCATCGACCTATTATTCAGACTATAGGTTTTTAAAGCGCTTTATACAATAATACATCACACCTTTTTTATGAGAAATCTATGATTTTAGTTTCCCAGAGAACAATTTTTTTCGGTTGGTCGGGTGTTTTAATGTGTGCTACTCTATAGCTGCAGTTTTACTCTATACCGTAATTATTCGAATAAACGCCGCGGCGTTTATTGAATTTTAGGCAATTAAGATGCGGCGTTTATTCGAGGGCGGCGTTTATTCAAGGGAGGCGTTTATTGCAAACTCGTAACAACTCTGAATTTATTGTGTAATTTAAACGCCAATTCAACCAATACAATCAATACAAAAGTTACGTGTCTTTTCTCTTTATATAATTATATATGAAAATTGAACTGTGGTTATAAATAAATGCTTCAAATAAACGCCGCAATGGGGAAAAGGTTGCGGCGTTTATTTGAGGGCGGCGTTTAATGATATTTTTGCTTGTCCCTGCGGCGTTAATTCAAGGGCGGCGTTTATTCGAGGGAGGCGTTTATTCGAGTAATTACGGTATTTATTTTATCATGACTAAAATGACGTAATGACGCATTGACGTAATGTTTTTGCGTCGTTTCACAACAAACGTGTAAGTGCGCACGAAAAACGCGACAGTGGAAGGTGTTTAGTTGGTGTTGAGTAGCATGGCAAAATTCAATTTCAAAATGGAATTTAAAATTCCAATAACGTCATAAAAATCAAGGACGAAATATACATTTATCATAGCCTCGTCTAAATTTGATCCCCAGACGTGATCTAAAGACGGTTTTCCACCAGGCAAAATTTTTCGATCGAATGAAATAGTTTAATTATTAAGAATTTCGGTAAGAATTTCGGTATATTCGACCATGTACCACATTCCGGTATATTTGACATTACCAAGATCGGATATGTCATATTCCGGTATATTTGACATTACCAAGATCGGATATATCATATTCCGGTATATTTGACTTTACCAAGATCGGATATATCATATTCCGGTATATTTGACATTACCAAGATCGGATATGTCATATTCCGGTATATTTGACATTACCAAGATCGGATATATCATATTCCGGTATATTTGACTTTACCAAGATCGGATATATCATATTCCGGTATATTCGTCCTGCATGAGCACAACAATTTTATCCCGTCAGCTGTTTTGTACCTGTCCAGTAAACTGTTATGTCCAGTAAACTGTTATATCCAGTGAATTGTTATATATATTCAATATAACGGCTGTATGTAAAAGGCATTGTAACCATATAGCATTATCAATAGGTCAAGTTCTTCCTCTCAACGCAATAAATGTAAATTAATTCTAATTAGATTTCGGGTATCTATCTATATATCTATCTGCGGCCAACGTTTTTGCAAATGGGTGTATATATATAAATATATATATATATATATATATATATATATATATATATATATATATATATATATATACAGGGTGTCCCAAAAAAAAGTCCCCGCTATTTGAAAAATGTTTTTTGAATGCATGATCAACGCAGTAGTGTGTAAATAGCATATTTATTAGGTTGAGGAATTCAAATAAAGCGTCTTGCTTTCAATTGGGTTTATCATAATATTAAGGCAATCAGATTCGAACAAAGGCTTGATTTCAATAGAAGGGACATTTTTTTGGGACACCCTGTATACAGGGTGAGTAAAAAAAACCTGACACCTTTGAAATTCAAATAAGCCGCGCACTTATGGCTGGAATTTGATGATTCCCATTGTGTACAATCAACAAGACGTGGTTAATTAATGCGAAAGTGTTTAAACCAATTGAAGTAATTCAACGTTCTTTTTTATTACAGAGCTTAGAATGCATTTTAACTCCTAAAGGGAACAAACTTTACGTTCTACCTAATTAATGGTTCACTTATTTGATATGCTTCGTATACCCATAAGATATTTTAGGCAACTTCCGTCTCATTACAGCCGATTACAGACACATTACAGCTAATTTGAATTTTAAAGGTGTCAGTTTTTTTTACTCACCCTGTATTGCGGTTTATCTCTAGAGCCTAATTAGAACGTTTTCAGTGACATTTAATAAGTAATATTAGAAAATGTTTATTAGAGTTAGTATAATTAGGATATGCGCGCTTCAATTTAAACATATATTTAGAATTGATTACAGACCCAAAGTTAACGAACGAGTCAGGCCAAGTTAGTTGGTCAAAGTCCAATATCATCAAACACCTGCATGAGAGAAGCATGCAACGCAGCCTGTTGACCAATCAAAAGACAAAATAATTTTCATCTTTATTCATTATGTTTACATTAGGGTCTTCGGAGGTCTATTAACTCTGCCTCATTATCAGTGATAATGAAACTTGGCACGTCAGATAAGGGAAGGGGCTAATTTCACATGCCGTAAATTTTTACATTATGCTAGTTTGCCCACGAAGGCCGGTTAAGAATACGGCACTGAATCCAATAACAGTAGAAAACCTTTTATGTAAATGGCTGTACAAGGAATTATATCTGCAATATGAGAGGCCTAAGGGTTCTATGCATAACAATATAGTGGAAATATTAACCGAACTTTCAGAGCACTATATTACAATCATACTTGGAATAAGAGTGGTCTTAGAATAAGAGAGTGTTATTGTCATGTAAGAGAAATCAGCATTGCAATATTACTATTGTATCTGAAACATACATATAAGATGAAATTCTATATTTGTGTAGGTGATCACAGTGAAGGTTTATGAAAAGTGCCTACACTATACCACAGGCAATACAGGTGTTGGTAAAATATAATAACTAAGGCAAAGCATATAACATCCAGAATGCTGGCAATATAACAAGTGTACATATAATTCCAATCGCATACTCTAGCTACAACATATATAAAATTTACGTGCAAGACGGCAAAGATGTCTTTGTCTATAAGTTTATAGTTCAATATGTGGAACAATTAATGCAAAGGTAATATTCCAAATTTAATACATTTCACCCTTGATGTTATTTATACTAACTTGAGGTGGTGGCAAAGAAATCTAAGTTGTTTTAACGGACCAGTACGTATCCCATTGCTCTGAGGTTCTTGACTCCGTTGTCTGGGAAACATGTGGCAACATTGCCAGCCGTGTTAAAAGAAGGTGCTCTGGAACTGCAGTGGTGTACATAACGTCCTTTACCACCCAGGCCGATGAAAGAGTCAGGAGTGCGGCAATGATTTTCCTGATTTCCAATGATGCCTAAGCGAACTCTCAAATATATAGATCTCCCAAAGTTCACGTTGAACCCTTGTTTGTTGCAATTACGCTGTAAAGATGATCCTTGGATGAGATGCTTCCACTGTGAACGGCCGACGTGAGTTTGACGATAATTGCCGTCGGCGATCAGATGATACAAGGACGATGCTGGATGTGAGAAAGAGAGGGCTCTGAGTTGACCACCATATTTCATCGCGACACAAATCTCATTGAATGAAGTTTTCCAATATGTTGATCCTTTGAATTCTCGGTTGTCAAAACCTCCGTTTCTTCCATAAAAATTGTCACTGAAAGTGGTCTTGTTCGACCAATAACCAGAACTGTATCCGAAAGTACTCTATATAAAGAGATTGAAAGAAACTCGTACGGATATAATCATTAGGAATACGCCTCAAACAAGGCAACTCTTACCTTGCTCCCATCAATTTTCATCACCATCGTCCACCCACCACCAGAACAACCTGAGACTGACGACATCTGACAGTAGACGTTCATCACTTCATTTGAACCAACACTGATTTTGTAAACACCACTGGCAGTATTATTGCTTCAATACAAAAGATCGAATCTGTTCAACTATTATTATGCAAAACCTGCGTTTATATATATAAAATGAAGTGGAGAATATACGAATTTACTGAATTAGCAATGGAGTAATTTTTTAAAGTGATAAGCGAAGGGTAGCTATACATGTTTTAGCTTTCGTAGACGCTTCCGGAATTTCCAATTATCATAACTCATACCTTTGACTCTTCAGTATTTCTTTGCATGATTTAAATTCTGCAACACATTCAGAAATGGAAACAACAAGTGGAAATAAGTAATTAAAAAATATTTTAAAACAAGGATATGATTCCGCTATATATACGGGTTCATATGCAACACAGGCGTTCCGTAAAAGGGTAACTGATGTTGATCAAAACTTAGGAAAACTAAAGGTGCACGAGGCTGCGCACTTGGTCACGTCTGGGTGCATGATACACACCGAATATTTTTGACATTCTCGTCAAGAAAGCAACAGCAAAAATTTAAACAGTTTATTATTTTTATTATGGACATTTCCAAAAGGTTGTCACATCTCAAATTGCATGTGGCATTTCATCTGGATCATTTCATTCAACACCTATAGGACTGAACAAGATTGAGCTCAAGCAATTATAGGAACAAAAAAATAGCTAAAAATTGTTTTGCCATTAATAATCTTGATGATGAAATTGGTTTATGGTTGAATTTCAGGTTTTTACCTTTGCTGCATGTCAGCCTTTGAATATCTTAAAACGGAAGAAGAATATTATTGGGTATATTCCACATGATGTTTACACGAGATTACCCAGTGTATTTTCATCACCTTTTTTAGTCTTTTCAAGATCATGGCTGAGTTTTATAATAGCATTGCTGATGCTTGTAAGATCATCTTCTATTTGTTTACGTTCCTTTGCGTCTATTCCAAACATTTCCGTCTGAAAAGGACAGATATGATATGAATGGCACAACGGAAATGATCTGTGGGGAGATATTTGTGCATTTACTAAATTTAACATAACTGATCAGTTATCATTTCCGCGTTGCGGAAAAAAACATCTTCGAGAAGACGTACATGAATTGCGCAAAGGAAGTCGATGGGAAATAGAATAACATCCCCTACCAGGTTTTGTTTTAGGGGCACGGTGTGTTAAATATACCTGTACATAGAGTTGGTATTAAACGTTAAAAAGTACAGTCCCAAGTTGTGATATTCGTTGAATCTGGTGCCAGAAGCAGGGTAACCGTTGCATCGAAGCGAAGTTGCACGACACACAATATCAGTAATGTACATCTTATACTTACAACATGAAGCGTTGTGATGAGAAAGAACGCTGAAATTGCCACAAATCTCATGGTTGAGTCAATCTTCGTATGGTACTGTGTATAAAGCTTCCTTCTCTTCCTCAGTCTGACTCCAAATGGCAAGACTTGCTTTTCACATCAACTTTTAAAGGGTGGTGCTGCAACATGTTTTTTATTTCATAAATTGCATTGACGTAATATTTTTGCGTCATTTCACAACAAACGTGTAAGTGCGCACGAAAAACGCGACAGTGGAAGGTGTTTAGTTGTTAAGGTGTTGAGTAACATGGCAAAATTCAATTTCATAATGGAATTTAAAATTCCAATAACGTCACAAAAATCAAGGACGAAATATACATTTATCATCGCCTCGTCTAAATTTGATCTCCACCCGTGATCTAAAGACGGTTTTCCACCAGGCGAAATTTTTCGATCGAACGAAATAGTTTAATCATTAAGAATTTCGGTAAGAATTTCGGTATATTCGACCATGTACCACATTCCGGTATACTTGACATTGTCAAGATCGGATATACCACATTCCGGTATATTTGACATTACCAAGATCGGATATATCATATTCCGGTATATTGGTCCTGCATGGGCACAACAATTTTATCCCGTCAGCTGTTTTGTACCTGTCCAGTAAACTGTTATGTCTGTTATGTCCAGTAAACTGTTATGTCCTGTGAATTGTTATATATATTCAATATAACGGCTGTATGTAAAAGGCATGGTATAACCATATAGCATTATCAAAGGTCAAGTTCTTCCTCTCAACCTAATAAATGTAGATTAAATCTTATAAACAGTTCTAAAATAAGTAAGTTATGTTACTTCCTTTAACGTAGGTCTTAAATATGACTTAAAATATATTCTTCCTTTAACGTAGGTCTCAAAATTTGTTCTTCCTTTAAGCGTAGGTCGTAAAATATGTTTTTCCTTTAGAAACACTATAAATATAACCCAATTTCTAGTAAAAGTAGAATGGTTCTGTAAATTTGTATCGCTATTGTGGAATATATGTTAAGGTGATTCTCCATTACGCACGCTGCGCCCGCGCGGGCGAAGCGTGCTCTGTTTTTCAGGCAGGTCACGGTCGCATGGGCAGATTTTCAAAAGCCGCTTCGCCGCGGACGGTAATGGAGAATCGCCTTTAAACGTAAAGTGTGCGGGTATCGCTAGCTGTCGCGGTCAGTTGAATTATACATGCAGTCTCAAGGAATTGCAAGAGTTCCACAACAGTAATTTTCCACAGACTATATAATCAACCAGGTCGAGTATGCTATTCATCGGTATCTTTAGCAAAGGGTTTAGAATGAAAGCTAGTCTTATTTAGGGCCAATTTCGTATTTAATTTTTCGTGTTTGTGAAATTTTGATTCTGGATCCGCCCCTGCTGCTGTGAGCTGTATTTCGTTTGTACCTTGCATAATTCAAATCCTACATTCTGATTAGTCAAATTTAATTGGCCTAATGGGTATACACATTAACCACGCTTACTTTTTTCAGCTACATCTGTAGCTCAGTGGCAAGAGCATTGCACCGGCATCGCAAAAGCGTAGGTTCGATTCCTGCCGGAGGACCTATAGTTGACGGAGGACCCTTTCAACCTCTAGTTGTATGAATGCCCTCCCCACGATATTTCATCGCGACACAAATCTCATTGAATGACGTTTTCCAATATGTTGATCCTTTGAATTCTCGGTTGTCAAAACCTCCGTTTCTTCCATCGTCATTGTCACTGAAAGTGTTCTTGTTGGTCCAATAACTAGAACTGTATCTGAAAGTACTCTATGTAGAGATCGAAAGAATCTCGTACGGAATGGTCCGATATAATCACTTCAAATACTGACAAGTGTACACGACAAATTTTCCATATTTTACGACGTATTTTACCATAGGATGCTCATATTGGGCAGATACAACCATTTACCATCTCAAACTGATTCAGCAGTTATGCACAAGGCATTGCATAATCTCAAATGTTATATTGTACAAAAAGATTATTATATTCACAAAAAGATTCCCTGATTTAAACATTTATTATGTCATTCAACCCTTTAATTATGAAATTACATTGCACTTATATATAGAACTGACATTACAACATCTTTTTGGATCATTGTCTATCAAGCACTATAGCAATTCGACTATAGCATGTATATCATTGACGTATTGTTCAACAATGGAAAATTAACATTTGAATTTGAAAATATTTTAAAATGGTTATCCATGCTACATCGCTTCTAAAAATCTTAACCATATATAATGTCCTAGTTTATCCTCTACAAAGATTAGCCACAAATTAAAAGCAAACTGATCGAATAGTTTTAACGAACCAAAATGTATCCCATGGCTTTGGTGTCTCTGTTCCCGTTGTCACTGAGGCAAAGGGCAACATTACCAGCGGTGTTAAGAGAATTTGAAAAACCGCACCAATTCATTTCACCCTCACCCCCCAGAGTAATGTAGGAATCGGGTGTTTTGCAATCGTTTTCGAGAAACTCTATTACGGGGAATATGCTGGATATTGAATCCTTTGTTGCAATTTTAAAAGCTGTAAAGATAATCCATTGATGAGCTGTTTCCATTGAGAGCGGCCAACGTGAGTTTGACGATAATTACCGTCGGCGATCAGATCATACAAGGACGATGCTGGATACGAAAAAGAGAGGGCTCTGAGTTGACCACCATATTTCATCGCGACACAAATTTCTTTGAATGAAGTTTTCCAATATGTTGATCCTTTGAATTCTCGGTTGTCAAAACCTCCGTTTCTTCCATCGTCATTGTCATTGAAAGTGGTCTTTTTGGTCCAATGACTAGAATTGTATCTGAAAGCACTCTATGAAGAGATTGAAAGAAACTCGTACGGATGTAATCATTTGGAATACACGAGAAACAAGGCAACTCTCACCTGGTTTCCATCAATTTTCATCACCATTGTCCACCCACCACCAGAACAACATAGGAAAAATTAACTTAGCAGGGTTTAGGTTTTGGAAATATTTTGGGCAAAATACAGAAATATTTACTAGTGTGAGAAACTTTGCTTCGTTAACTGCTTTTGACCGCCATATATAAAACTTCACCTCTCACGTAACGATTATTTTTATAGTGAAGCGCAGAAACATCTGGAGGACAACTTTTAATGATTATGACGTCAGTGCAATATGGGTCTGTAGTTAAATTAATTAAGGTTTTAATCCTGCATGTGATGATCAATTTTATCAAAGAGCGCAGTGAAAGCGTCTGAATTATAACTAATAACGATGTCTCGTTAATATAGTTACTACATAGATTCGTACGTACATGATATATCTGCGATCCTTTAGATAGATGTACTATTTCATAATTTGTCATAATGTGTTAGTTAATTTAAAGGAGCAATCGTTAAATTTGTGTTTTATGCCATGGGATATGAAAGTTTTCTAGGTGAAACTATTGAAGTGCACCCAATGACGGCGCTGAGCTTGTTCAATGATTAAGTCGTTCAACACAATACATTTGAGATGATTTTTTATTTAAGAATAATGTATTTTTTTAACTTCCTGTTTTATCGACTTAATAATAGGAAACCTAAAATAGAGTCATGCAGAGGGTTCCTTGCACGGGTTTGCGCTACAACACCTGCATGGGTTATGTCAATAGCGACACACCAAGCTTGTTTAGAAAAATGTGTTTAGGTGTGTTACAAAACTTAGAATGAATTGAATGAAAACGGACCGGTGACATATATTAATTCATAGGCATACAGGATGCTTTTAGAATGTATTCCCCTCAAATTGAAGTGAACTAAGAATTTAATTTAACGTATTTCCTTGGCCCCGAGCCGTATCCCGTCCATAGGCAGCCCAGACATGTTTTCGTTCTCGTGGCGCTCGCGCGTGTACACGAGTCTACTTGGTCTATTATTATTATGTCTATTATTATTAATAATAGACCAAGTAGACTCGTGTACACGCGCGAGCGCCACGAGAACGAAAACATGTCTGGGCTGCCTATGGTACGTCAGTATTTTTTATACCTTTCCACAGACCAGAGTATGCTATACATCGGTATCTTCAACAAACAGTTTAAAATGAAAGCTAGTCTTATTTATTGCCAATTTCGTAATTATTTTTTTGTGCTCGTGAAATTTTGACAGATGCATTCGCATCAGTCTAGATCCGCCCCTGCATGCTGTTAGCTGTATTTGGATGTACGATCTCATGTGACCGAGCGAAGAAATCTCCAAAGAAACTATAGCACTGTGCTCTGTGCACGAAATTTTGGCTTTCATTGGCGATACATCATTCCGGTTCTGTTTATATCAACGTTGCTTGAATTCTGAACGGAATCTCTTGCTTCAGGAAAAATTTTCCATCATCGTATTATATATAGGTTCAAACTGAAGCAAGAGATTATTTTTCAATTTTGCGTCTTGTACAGTGCATGATTATAACAAAAAGGTTTTGAAAAGTTCAACAAAAGGCCCAATGCATGATTGCATCGTGGACCGCGCTCGTCACATTTTCAAAAGCGTGGTAATAAGACTGAACGGTATAACTGCCCTCAGCAATATCATTTCAATCCCACCAAGTTGAACTGACGCTAAATTACGTGATTTGCTTTTCTTGAAAATTCATACAAAATTCAAAAATTCGTATAGTAAATGTGTTTAAAGCTGCCAGTTCTGCGATGTTCTAGATCTTTAAGTATATACGATGTACATTTGACCTTTGAGGTATTTAGAATGAAAAATATAGTCAGCTATAGTAGACAACGTGCATGTGGGCGCAATATCTGCACCGATTCCCAACTTTAAGCATTAGGGTGTCAGGTATTAATTTGGCCATCTGTTATGTGATATGTTCATGCAATCCTACATGATGTATCCCTCATGCATATAGATATTCACAGATATCAAATATAGAGTCAATTAACTCTCTCCTCCGCAGAGGCTTCGAATGCAAATGCGCTAGATTTTTAAAGATGCGCTTGCATGAATATGAGTCAATAGAGTAAATAAAAAATACAGTTAATGGATGCATGGGATTGATAATGATCCAACAGATTGATAATGACAATACAACTGTGTTCCATTGCATAGTGATTGATTGCTGCCGCAGCGAGGGGGCCTGAAGTGAGCAAAGCAGCAGACCCTAAATTACAATGGGGGTGCAACCGTGCGGTGAACTCTTTTTTTGAGGGGAGCTGAATT